TCTTTCTTTTTTTTTATTTTTTTTTTAAAGATGGAAGTGGTTAATCATTAATTTATTATATCTCACAAAACAGCAGATTAAGCGCTTATTTTATGGTGGAGAGGTTATTTGATATATGCCTTCTGTTAGCAGTACACTTTATTGCTATCCCTTGGATTTGTTCATTGAAATGAGATTTGATTTCCTATATAGCATCACAAAGAGATGTCTATTTACGAAACCATATTTACTATAGCTGGAAGACTACTTTTTTCTTGGTTCTCTTTGGCATTTGCTGTTTGCTTACTTGTCTGAATTAGTCAAAGTGCACTTTGGAGTATTTAGTTGCTAAATGGTTCCATTTGAGCTTACTTATGGAGAGATGGTGATACATTTGGCTATATATCTACAGATGTAGCTTTTACTTGCATCCATATGAAGGCTCTACTATCCAAATTTTGACCCAAGGGAAGTTGAGTGCTCCTCGAATTTTAAGAATACATAAGGTCAGTATTACAGCTTTTTTAGTCAATACCTTTATTGTCAATTGTAGCATGCAGTGCATGTTATGATTTTATGTATGTGTTATATTTAGTGGTAGACCTATGAGTAAGATTAGTTTCTGCTGACTTTTATATTCCGCTAACAATTGCAACTTTTCCGCTACAAATTCTGTGTAAAGGAATGTATTCACTTGTGCAGTGTTGATACTAACAATAGATTATTAGATGAATTCTGAGATTTAAGAAATTTATTTGAGCTCCTTAAATTTATCACTAAATAAAATATTATCGGTGGAGCAAGCTTCTTTTTGCCTTGTTTTGGAAGGGAATACTTTGAATTGTAAAATAGAATGTGAATCATGTATTCTTAATTGAAGTGCTCAATTTTAGTTTTGCTACTTATATTTTATTATGATAGAAGAAATATTTTTCCTCTTCTGGATTGTTTAAGTGTTTCTTCCCTCTTCCTCTCAAAGAGGAGAACAAGCGTTTTTTCCCTCCTACGCTTTCTTTTTGAGACTTCTTCCTCATCTACCATGGTATGAATGCCTTAACTTGTATTTAGGTCTCGAGAAACCACTTTTTGTTTTTCCATCCCCTACCCTTTTCATATGCCGTTTCTGGGTCTCTAAAACCATTATATTATCTATTCTACAACTCTATAATTTACCTTATTTTCTCTCATAGGTTTATAAAAAAATTTCCGTTAATGAACAAAACAGAGAGAAGTAACATTTCCATAGTTTATCATGCGCTTGTGCAATCTCTTTAACTCTCTTTAACTCTTTAGATTTTCACCTTTAAATCAAGGCCAGCTGTGGCCTGTGGTGGTTATGGACTTCACGTGCTGGAGTGATAGGCAATGAACTTTTTGACCATACCATACCCTTGCCTACAGCAGGGTTAGATAGTCGGTAGTCTTATTGTAGACAGTGTTTTCCCTTTTGCTGTGTATATCTTAGAAGATTCCCTATTTGTCCAAGGAAACAGCTGATCCACCAGCCTCGTTTATTTTTATCTTTCCATATTTAACATGTACCAGGATATGGTTTGCTGAATAGTTTTCTGGAAGGTTAAGCAATATGTCTGATGATTTGGATCTGTTTTTATCAATTTTATTTTGTAGGTTATCAATTATGTTGTTGAAAAGATGGTCCTTGACAAGTCAATGGAGGGAGGTGTGACTGGGGATGCTACATTTGCTCCGGCTGGAGGGCCCTTGCAGCATTCAACAAATGTAGTAGATGGGTCTCTCCGCTCAGGGTTGAGACCTTGGCAGCGAATAAAGCCTGCAATTGAAATCTTGTGCAATGATCAGGTATGTTACAACTGAAGTAAATTACAGCTTTACGTGACTGTCCTAAATTTAACCTGTTTCTTTGATCAATTGAACTCTTATTTTGATGTAAGGAAAAGAATCTGTAGGGGTATACTCTTGTGCTGTGTTACTTCGCCATCTACTGTGGCAGGTGTTGTGTGTTGACTCGACACACCTGGAAGTAAGTGTCGAGTTGGGTATCGGAATTGTATTGGAGATCTTTCAGATCTAGGGTTTGTAACAAAGACCTTTGATCTGCAAGAGAGAGAGAGAAAGAGAGAGATTTTCCCAACCACTATATCTCAGATCTATAAGCGTTTGGCAAAACCTGATATGCTATTTAATCTAATCACTTTTTTTATCCTGTGTGTAATTTTCAGGTGTTATCTCCTGAAATGAGTTTGGCGACTGTACGAGCTTATGTCTGGAAAAAATCTGATGATCTGGTACTTAATTATCGTGTAATGCAGGGCAGGTGACTTTACCCAAAGCCAGCCTAGGTGTGTATTTTCAGAAGATTTGCCTCCCTTAATTCAGCTACAAATAAATTGTTAGGTGTCATAGTTGGTGTTGTGTGATTCTCGCCTGTATGCTGTTGCTGCTTCAAGTTTAACGCAGTAGCGCTTGTAGTTGTAGCTGATTCCAATTTTCTTGTCATTTATGATGAGGTCATTTTAAAACATGTTTTGTGTGTTAATTACCTTAGTGTAGAATGGAGAGAATGAATGATCGTAGGTGGCTGTGCTTCCTGATTAGGCCTGAACAAATCATCTGACGAACTGTCTTTTGCTTTTGTTATTCTCAAATTTTTTGTCCTACATTGAGAAAAAAAAATGTCCACAAATTCTACAATTTGATTGCTTTAACTTTCTATTTTTCCCTCGATGTGTTTAATGTGCTTCACTGAAGTCTATTCTATTGGTTCTTTATCACTTTCCTAATCTTGATTAAAATTCAACTTGGGCAAACATTGTGAATGCCCTGAATGGGAGTAGAAAAGATTAACTGAGACTTTCCCTTCACAAGTAGTCATATGCTTGCGATTGGCTACTGTCTGCTTGACTTTCCTGTCATTTGTTATGTTACATGCAGGTTGACTTTCAGATTTAGTGGATTGCAATGGAGCTAGCTGATAGGTCATGGTTGATATTTCATGGGTTCCTTATATTGTTGGGATATATCGATTGCTTCATTGTATATCGGCGAAGGAAATTGATTGCTGATATTAGAAGCATTCTTGGAAGTTTCTTGAAAAGTTCCTGATCAACATTTTCCATTTGTCAGAAATGTTGCAGTATCTGAAGCTCATATGTTTGACATATGAGATTTTGTGAATCCTACAACTCTTATTTGTGGAGAGTTCGTGCGAAATTGAAGAAGTTCTGTTCATGTAGAGAGCCAACGCACTAGAGCTGTGAATTTCTAGAGGAATCGAATCAGGAATTTGATGTCAAAAGCCTTGTAGATTTGTAACTTATGAAGTTTCAGTCATAGGAGATAGATGTGAAGAAAAGCTATCTGTTTTACGGAAGGAAATGTCCTGGAAATAAATCAGTGTCCATTTGTCTGCACAGTTAATTGTTATATTTTATTAACTTGAGCTTTTTGTTCATCTTCCATGTACATTTTTTTTATGTTTCGGTCCACATTTGCGTGGTGCCAACAATTTTCATTGGATTATAATCTCTGTAATTAAGCTTTTTGCTTGGTGCATATGATTCGGGTTTCAGTGTGAGTATAAAAGTTCAATTTAATTGAGTGAACCACAAACTTCTTAACATGTTTGAAATCGGATGATTGAGTGGCAATATCTAAATTATAACATTTCGAACATATGGTCCAAACTTCAATTCATTAGTATGTATCAACCACCATATGCTTGAACCCCAATTACCGATGGGAATGAGCCAAAACTCATGAACAATTTGAGGTTGACTGATACGAAATTACGAAGTATTTGATTCGAACTTGAACCCAGCTTACTATATTTGGCTCGTATCCAAGATGGCTCTATTCAAAAGCCTCCTTACGATCTTACCCATATATGACTTGGAGCAAATTAATCCGGACTAAACAACTCATTTACCACCTAGTATTGTTGGCTGGTCGACCCCTAATTTGTAATTTGGCCGGCTTTGGTCTAATATATAAATTTATTTATTTATTTGTTTTTTTTTCTTCTTCTTCTTCTTTGAGACCTGTCCAATGTAAAATTAAAAATCAATTTTTGTTATTTATGAGAAAGTTTGATGGACTACAGGGAAATATCGTAAGGACGTTAATTTTTCCAAGATAAATATGAAAATTCTAAGGTGATCAAGTAATCAATGATCACCCCAGGCTATCCTATGTGGCACAATATATACCATAATAACTAGTGGTGATCAAATTATACTTATCACCTTGTAAACATCCATGATAAATATCTTCATATACCGTCTATGTAGACCTGGCAAATGGGTCGTTCGGATCGGGTTATTTCGGGTCTGTTAACGTTCGGGTCGGGTCATTCGGGTTTTAGGTATGGATCGGGTCAGGTAACGGGTCAAGTTCGGGTCAAGTCAATTTCGGGTCGGGTTATTTTTGGGTCAAGTATGTTCGGGTCATATTCAGGTCGGGTCAAAATAAGTCGGGTCATGTTCGGGTTGTTCCATTTAATTTGTGGATCTAGCTCAAATCAATAATTTTATATTTTATTTATTATTATAATAAGAACTATCAATTCGGTTTATGAGCGTGACTACAGTTGAAGATGAACAATTTAAATTATATTTGGCACCAAACATTTATATTTCAATTATAAGGTAATTTCAGTTCGGAACATTTCGAGTATTGGGTCTGTTCGGGTCAATTTCAGGTATCGGGTTTGTTCGGGTTAATTTCGGGTAGGGTCAACTTCGGGTGTCGGGTTAGGATCGGGTCAACTCTATTTTCGGGTCAGGTATGGGTCGGGTCGGGTCAATTTCGGGTCATTATATTTGGGTCAATTTCGGGTCATGGGTAGAGTCATCGGGTCTAGGTCGAGATTGTCAGGTCTACATCTATGTGGGTCCGAGAGAAAAAAATTCCGTAATTGACCCTTGTTTAGACAGGAAGAAATGAATGACTACATTTGATTGGGCAAAGACGCAAACGTATATTGTTTGTAGACCATAGTTGAAAAAACAGGGAAGGTACATGTGGGCGAGCAATGACGTTACAACAGAAGATGCAAAAGCCACAATGACTTTGCAATTTCAGTGGAAGAGAAGTATCACTCTTTCAGGCCATCCTACAGCCATGTCTCTATCTTCATTACCACAACCCAATTTTAGGTAATCAATTTCCTTCTTTTGTCTTATTATTCAAAAAAAATCAACCCTTTCTGCTCAAATTATCAATTTTTCCTTTTATATTTTTTGTTTTGTGGAGCCCACCACACTATCTGTTGAAGTATATGTCATTTTCTGTTAATGGGTTTCCTTTGAATCCTGAGTAAATGCTACATTCATAGTGTTATTCTAAAATATTTTAAGAGTTTCTAGTTTGAAGGGTAGTCCCTTTTCAGTTGGGGTGGTTCAGAGAACTTTGCTGCTATTACTGGCTTTAGATAAGCAGTTTTTGCAGTAATTCTATATTGTTATAGCAGTTGGGTAATTGAATGAAGCATGGCATCAATACTTGCTTTCAGGGTGTTTCCTAGTTTCCGCAAAAAATTAGGGCATAGACCTGGGTTTGGAGGGAGGGTTGTATGTAATTTAGGTGGTGAGAACTCAACAGTCTTGCACTCAGATAGTGTTAGTGTTAAGGGTGAGTCTGTTATAAAGGAAACTGAGAAAATTGGGTCTTCAATTGCTGGAGGAAATGGGCATGTAGGAAGCATTGGTGGAGGGAAAAAGAGGGGTAAGGAAGTTGATTCTGAAGAGTTAGAAGTGTTATGGGATGATGGGTATGGGTCTGCTAGTATGAAAGATTATCTTGATATTGCTAAAGAGATGATCAAGCCGGATGGTGGACCGCCTCGGTGGTTTAGCCCTGTTGAATGCGGGCGCCCTTTGAAGGGTTCTCCTTTGCTTCTGTTTTTGCCTGGTAATTTCAGCCTGACCCTGGCTCTGTGTGTGTTTGTATTACTTCTGATGCTAACTAGAATACTAGATAATAGAAGTTAATTTGACAGCAAGCTCGTGTTGATATATCATGCATAAATTCTGTTCATAACTGTTATATGGTTGGTTTAATTCAATTTGAGCTGAATTTTACAAATTATGGTGTGCACAGGTATGGATGGTGTTGGATTGGGTCTCATAATGCACCATAAGGCCCTGGGGAAGTAAGTCTAATTAGTTTTCTGCGATTATATTAATGCTTTGAATTCTCAGTACAAGATAAAAATCAGTTGAAAGGTAACTAAGTTTGCAAAGGCATCTGATAACTTGTTGGGTGATAATTTACCATCCTCTAGTACTTGTAGATATTATTAAGATGGACTAGTTTTGATTCCTTTTTTGGTTTGATCTGTAAACTTGTTAATACTCAATTATATTTACATCTTTGTATTAAATATGTGTAGCTCAAATTCTCCTGTTTTAATTTAATTTTTGCTATGTGGCTGCATACCTTTTTTTAATTTCCTGTGCATATTTCATTTGCTATTTATGTTCTAGCCTCAGAAATAGATCGTCAAGCATATAAACAATGTTAACAACAATTGAATTAGCTATGTAAGTCATAATGTTAAGTATGGTATGGAAATAATGGTAGAGAAACCATGCTTTGTTGCTCTGCATATATGGTGCTTCTATTCGGCTATCTTCTACCACATATCTGATTATAACTTTGTTTGTAGGGTGTTTGAGGTCCAGTGTTTGCATATTCCTGTTAACGATAGGACGCCATTTGAAGGTACATTTGCATTTTACAAGCCTTCCTTATAAGGTTGTTATACTTTGTACTAAATTGTCTACATTATACAGTTTTACTCAAATTTTTTTCCCTCATAGATTTGCTTGTGATCAATTTACATATTTCACCCTTTGACTCAGAATTATTCAATATCACCATTACTACACTTAAAAGTATTCAGTATTAGTACCTCCATAGCCCCTTATGTCCATTTTTCAAATTTCTCATAGCATTCTCGACTTCTTCCTCTCTTGTGAATATTGTGAATTTCTCATTTAGCTCCAGTCTCAATCAGTATAGTATTTCTCTCTAGAACCGGCTGTGGAATGTGAAGAGCACATAAAGCCTGAGAATAAAAAAAAAAATGAATTGAAAAATCAAATTTTACAGAAAAAAAGAAGCCAGATCTAATAAAAAGGGAACATATTATATTCTTGAAATTACCATCAACAACCGAAAGAAGCAAGTGAGAAAAAAAATGAAGAAGTGGAAGGATTAATACTTTTTTCTGCTCTAGTACTATTGCTTCTAGTTATTTTGTATCAGCTTTATTGTCTTCTTAGATCTTAGTGCATGGTCATTAGGCAACTTTTACCTGTTTTCCTGTTTCTTGGTGCTGTCAGCCTAGTAGTCTGTCAAGGTCATCCTGCTTTCTCTGTTTTGTTTGTTTGTTTTTTTTTTTTTTTTTTTTGTTTAATTTGATAACCTCTGCTTTCTCTGTTGATTAAGTATGACCTAATTTCAACACATATAGTTTATATGGCTGTGTTAACACTCTGAACTCCATCTCACTTTCTTAACGGCCTATGGAACACAACATACTAGTTTATGTGCATATAGTGTGAAGCAGTTAGTTTTTGTGGGAACACATTATCGTAAAGGGAGCTTTGACGAGGGTAATGTGTTTCTTCTCATCAGTTTGCAAGACTCATTTATTGAAGTGGAGTTGTAGTATGTTGAGCAGATCTTAGTTTCAAGTTTTGGGAAGAGGAATGGGGTGACTTGGCATTGTAGTCTGTAGAGTTCTTCTCAGTATGATGCATAGAGGCAAGTGGCCATATGTGTGCTTTTGCATTACTCATATGCATCTCATGAATATAGAAAAAGTATTTTATGTAAATGTTGGTCTTTGGTTACTGCAATCTTGTGAAACTCATTTATGATAAATATGTGGATATTTCTTGTGAGCAGGAGCATTATAATTCTTAATGTCTCCTCCTCTATGTTGTGAAGGGCTGGTGGACTTTGTTGAACGAGTAGTTCGGGAAAAGCATGCTTCATCTCCAAATAAGCCTATTTATCTGGTTGGAGATTCCTTTGGAGGTTCTCTAGCTCTTGCTGTTGCTGCTCGTAATCCAATGGTTGACTTGGTTTTGATACTTGCTAATCCTGGTCAGTCTGCAGAGATGTATGAATTTTTACTAGTCCTATCTTTGCTTGCTTCTGTTTAAACAACTTTTATTGACACTTTGATGGCTTTGCATCTGTTTTACTTGATAGCAACATCGTTGGAAAGGGGCCAGCTTAAACCATTTTTTCCTATATTGGAGGCATTGCCTGATGAGCTTCACAATACAGTTCCATATCTTCTGAGTTTTGTTATGGGTATGTACCATTATCATTGGATCCATATCATGTATTTCATTTGTTGACTGAAACTACATTGTTAGCTAGCTATATTAATCATGAATTCATGCCTCACATGCATCATGGGATCCTCAGTAACTTGGTATCTCTTTAAATGCATGCAAGCTCACAAGGGATAAGGGGGTACTATTTGTTGTCCAAACTCCCAAAGGATAACAGTTTAATACCAAACAAGTAGTTAATCTTGCAGCATGTTAGTTAATTTAACTCTTTTAAAAATTCCTGCCCCTTGCGTAAAGAAGCTAAGTATAATGTTACCTTGCATCATTAGGGCATATGGTTATCCTCTTCAACCTAGACTTCAAATTAGGTCCTTTTTTTTTTCTCTGTTTGCAATTATGATTTGAATTCTAGGTTGAAGAGGATAACCATCTTCCTTAATTAAAATAAGGTGAGAGACTGTGTGCTTCTCTTATTTGTTATATAGTGTGTACTAATTAGCAATAATGTGCACATACATTGAGCCCATATGGTTATATAGTGTGTACTGATTAACAATAAGGTGCACATACATTGAGCCCAGGTGAGCCAGTGAAGATGGCGATGGTCAATGTGGACAAGAAGCTTCCTCCTAGTCCAATGCTTCGACAATTGTCTAAGAATCTCACTGACTTGCTGCCACGTCTTTCTGTAAGATTCTTTTGCCCTGAGTTTTTCCTGTCTATTTCTGTACTCACATTCCTGTTTTTCATCTCCTATATTCTGTATGGCATTTGCTTTGATCACGGAAACTGTTACAGGAATTGCAAGTGCTGAAGCAGGAAAACACAAACACCATTTTATTCAAATATAAAACATAAAAGCACAAAATCTATAATTATGCTTGAAAAACTAAAGTAGTGACTCTAAAGATTCATGAGGGGGAATTTTTGTGCTGATCATAAGCAGAATTCCACTGAGTTTCCCTTAACTGTCAATTTACTGAGGCAGAAACAGTGACCTTCATGGGAGTTTCTGGCTTTCTGCTCATCAAGTTTAAATAGAATCTCTTTATCCAACTATCACGGAATAATGGATATGATTTGAAATAGTTAAATTCACTCTAAAATGTTATTCGTGTCTTCTTGAGACGTAGTTCAGTAATAAACTTCCATTGGCCACAGTAGGGTGTGCGGCTGGATTTGGTATTTTGAGGAGAATCATTTCTAGGATTTCTAGGGTGTAGTAAAGTTCAACCTTTTAATTTATGAGATCCTCCCATTGCACTTTTCATTAGTGTATTAGAAAAATCTTTTGTCCAAAATTATTTTTCAGACTTGATAGTCGCTTTCAATAGAGAGACATTGTATTTATGTCTTTTCATGGAATTTTCAAATAATAATATTTTTTTACTAAGAAATAATCCCTTTATTTTCATCATATAAAGCACACTTTACCACTAACTTCGCTCAAATATAATTTTATCTTTGTCAATATGTCCTGAGAGGAATTAATACTTCTTCCATTCCAAAAGTATTGCAACAATGGAGGAGTGCACAAGTTCTAAGAAATTGGGTAAAAGGTTAGAAGGGACCACAAAGCCCATATGAGTTACCCACAAAACCCTAGTAGGTAATGAATATGGGAGTTGATAATAAGGAGATATTGGATATTTACAGTGTAAAGGAAATATTGCAATATATGTAAAACTTTTTAAAATGGTAGGAGTAATATTTATGGAGCGGAACAAATATTCAAAGTACAATATCAAAATGTGTGGATGCCTAAAGCCTTTTTTATGAAAATGAGGGAGTGTGATAGATTCAGGCCTAGCACAACCAAATAACAGATAAATGCAATAAAATAGTAAAATAGAGAAGAAAGGTTGAGGCTTTAATTAACAAAAACAACGGTTTACACAATCGATAGGTTTAGCCTATCAAGCTCTACAGTGACTTGAGGTCACAACTCTCTAGGATTTACTCCAAAATTCTGCCTACCATTTTCTTTCCCCTCCCTTTCTATTTATATTAAGGACTATTAACCAAGTAAAGTAATATTACTAAAATATCCATACTACCCCTCCTTAGGTTAGTCTATTACAGGGAGTATCATAAGTGATTTCTGTACACCTAAAAGAATATATGTTTTAATAGATTAACGCATTAATTATTTTATCTTCCTAAAATGCTATTATGGTTTCTTCTTTTGGATGGAATTTTGTACTTTGTAAAGATTATATTGGATTCAGTTAAGATGTTAGAATATGGATTAGATTTGAGCTTTTTTTTTATTTTTTTTTATTTTTTATTTATTTTTTATTTTTTTTACTGTCATTTCATTCTCAGGTTATATCTGATCTCATTCCCAAGGATGCTCTTCTTTGGAAACTTAAGCTGCTAAAATCAGCTGCTGCCTACGCAAATTCTCGTCTGCATGCCGTGAAAGCTGAAGTACTTGTGCTTGCTAGGTTGGTTGGAAAACTGTTAATTAGTCAGCCATTTTGATTAATGAAAATTGTTTTGCACGTATCTGTTAGGTTTTTGGGTTACTTGGGTACTAATAATTATTGAAAGAGAAATCTTTATATCTCTGTAAAGGATTATGCATTCAACTTTTACAAGAATCATTCTGTATTGTATAAAATTTCTACATGGTTTTGTTAGAATTTGCTGCTTTTTTAGATCTTAGGCTAAGCTTATAACCCCAAAGAATCCTGATTGTAAGAACTTAAAGATGTTTAATTATTTATTTTTCCTTTTCAGTTTAAAGGATAATATGCTTCCTAGTGAAGATGAAGCAAAAAGGCTTTCTGGGTTGCTGAAGAATTGTAAAGTTCGAACCTTCAAAGAGAATGGGCACACACTTTTGCTGGTAGGTTTGGGTTAAGGACTTGGTCCATAGCTAAGGTTATATTCAATTCACCCATCAAAATTTCTCTAATATGATCCGACGTAGTTTTTTTGTGGTTTGATGTGAATTTCATCTGATGATATCTGATTTGCTAATTATGTTTGTCATTTGTCATTATTACTACCTCATTTTTTTTTTCTACTCACTTTCCGCTTATGGTTATTATTTTTTTTGTTCTACTCACTTTACTTTACTCCGTATGTGGCATACAATCTTTACCATCATCTCGTCTTACCTCACTATATTTACAACTTTTCACATTGTTGATTCTTCTAACTTTATCTAATGCCCCCTCCCCCCAACCTTTTCATACTTTACCTTACACCACATACCTTTTTACACTCTCTCTTTTCTTATACCTACGCATATTTCTCAAAAAAAAAAAAAAATGTATCTATAGTTGAACAAATATAAATGGAGGTAGTACTATTTATTAAAGTGATATTATTAATGTCATTTTTTAAATATTATTACTCCTCTGTTCCTATATGTTTGCCCAATTTGACTATTCACGGTCTTCAAGATACATTTTTAACATAAGTATCTCCAATTCTATAAACCCAAAATTTATAAAAATTTGGTATTCTTATTTCTTAACATAGAAATTGTATGAATATAACAAGATCTTACATGATTATGTTTTTTCTTATAGATTAGTGAGGATTTATGGTTTAAGATTTTACTATTTGACCCCAAAAAATACAATGGGGCCAACAATTTAACTAACAAATAGAGACGGAGAGAGTAGGTTTTAACTTGTTATATAAATTACTGCTATGAATGTTATAATGATTGTCTTCATCCTCTAATAACTCACTTATCTTCATCTTCAAGATACTATCCATATTTTACCTATAATGCCCGTCCTCGTTAGCCTGATGCATTACAAATAACATATAGCTTGATCCATTTTGCTTGGTCATGTAAAGATGAAACCCTTGACTGAATGGTTGTCTCATAGCACAATGTCATGCTGCAAGCTATACTGCAATTAGTACTAGTCATCTCTGATTATGCTCTAAAAAGGTTAATGTAGCTGGTTAAGGGTTAATAAACAGTTGTATAAATATCTAACTTCAAATAAGACTGCAATTTATCTGTTCACAGTTCACTGTCATATATTGACAAAAACACTCAACACACCTATGATATTGGATGGTACTGACGTTGTGCTGCATTGATGAAACAGGAAGATGGCATCAATCTACTCACTGTCATCAAAGCAACTGGAAAGTATCGGCGTTCAAGAAGGATGGATTATATCACTGACTTTGTGCCTCCTAGTTTTTCGGAATTCAAAACTGGATTTGATCAATATAGTGGGTATGAAAAAAGTCTACACATTTACTCTATGATAATTTTCCTTTGCTCTATACGTATACAGATCACCGTTGCTCATTCTTTATTATGCGGGTCTTTTGGTAGCTATTAGTACTTATAAGTAAGGTTGCATACTTACGTACATGTGGACCTTTAAGTATTTTAAGAGAGAGAGAGAGAGATTTAAGAGAGAGAGAGAGAGAGATTTTTAAGAGAAGTTCAGTTTTAAGTGGATCCAAAAATCCCCATATGATTAAATATTTATCCCAAAACTCAAAATTACCATGAAGTAGCTCAATATGAAGAAATTCCCAATTTGCATAAGAATCCTAAGTTTAGGTTTTGATTTTTGAATAGGATAAAAATATGTCATTTGGACTTAAAATAAATATGAATTGTGATAATGTGTAGATTCAATATGAAGTTAATTTGTTGCTCTCTGTGTTCAATTTGAAATTAATTGAATTGATGAAATTCCCCAATTTTTACATGAACCCTAACTACATAACTATAAATCATAATTAATCCATTTCTATTAGTTTGATTTGATTTAAGCCTTTAAGCGAGCACCTTTCGAATCGAAATTACTTATAAACCATTGGCCCTTAGCTATATTTTTTATTTTGTTGGAAAATTCATAGTTCCGGCAGTACTACTGAGGACATGGCCGAAAAACAAGTTACGGTAGTAAAATTTAACGAGTTAAAAATTTTAAGGTAGTATATACCAAAATAAATAAATAAAAAACTTTTATTTAATCTTGGAACTCTTTTTTTTTTTTTTTTTTTTTTTCTTTAATCCTTTATTATAAAAGAGGAGATTGGGGGTGTTATTGAGTTGGTCTTTAAATTATATTTCTACTTTTTATGCTCTTTTGTGGGCATTGTCATATGTGTATTAGTGTTTTCCTTTTCAATAAGTTTCTTTCTTGATGATGCTCTTAATACTTACTGACTGCCTACACATCATATGAACTTCAGATGGCTTAATTATTATACCAGTCCTGTGCTTTTCTCAACCTTAGAGGATGGAAAGATTGTGCAAGGTCTCAGTGGGGTGCCCAGTGAGGGTCCTGTCATATACGTTGGTTATCACATGTTGATGGGTTTGGAGATCTCAGGTCTTGCTGAAGGATTTCTGAGGGAGAAGAAAATCTTGGTCCGAGGTTTAGCTCATCCTGCATTGTTTGGTTCAAACTCCTCAAACAATGAATTATCATATTTTGATTACATAAAAGTATTTGGTGCGGTACCAGTGACTGCTAGCAACTTCTTTAAATTGCTTTCAACAAAGTCGCACATACTTCTTTATCCTGGTGGAGCTCGTGAGGCTCTACATTACAGGGTAAGTAGAGTCTATTCAACTGAATTTTCGTGGCACTTTATGTTTTCACAATTATGAATTTTACTACTTTGTAGTTTGTACTTTTTCTAATTTTGGCTGGGCTCCTTCCCGGTAAGTGAAACTCAAATAGGTTTAAAATAGCTATAATGCAATCTACTAGGTGCTTAAACCACATGTATATGTCTCTTAGATGCTCTGTAATTTGTCCTGAGACTAGTGAATATTCCTAATGGTAATGTCCTGACCTTATAATTTCCTGAATACTTAACTTATAAAAGAAAGACAAGATTGAATGATATGAGGCCATCGCATATCAGTAGCTGATGTCAGTACTAACATTCTATTGGAAATTTCTAGCATCGAAATTTTAACAAATTTATGTTATCAGGGTGAAGCATATAAGTTATTTTGGCCTGACCGACCAGAATTTGTACGAATGGCTGCAAAATTTAAGGCCAAAATTTTACCTTTTGGAGTTGTCGGAGAAGATGATATAGCAGAGGTAACCTCTCATTTTCTGTGTTTCTAACTGATTTATTTATTCACTAATTGTAGAAATTCTCAGTTGAATTGTTCAAGATTTCCATTGAACCTTTGACTTGAAATATTGGTTGGCCTACGTCACACCAGAAAAAGGTTTAAATAGGACATCATAACTAGATAATTCATCATAAAATTTCATGTATACTGTAAATATTATTAATTGTAACCATCTATGTATTGACGCAATGAGCATCATACTGTACTATTATCTCAATGTCCATGTCGCTAGCAAGGCTCCTGGCTGAGGTACAGTAGAGGTGTATGAAATATGTACGACTGTCTGTGTAAAGGCTTTTAGCCTTTTTCTTATTGGTATGTGGATGTATCCCATAAATCCTTGTTTTGAAAGGATATTGTTTGACCTACATCTTCACAACAAATAAGTAGACAATGTGGAAATGTAAGAAATGTTTGATCTAATCCATTAAAATCCGCAATGAAATATGCCTCTTCAGAGACTATTCCAACTTTGCTGAAGGTGGAAGGAATATCATCCAGTGAGAGCCAAATTGGGACTAATCTGAATTTACTGTAATTGCCCAATGTTTAAATCTAATGAGAATCCCACTTAGGGAAAGGTAGACCGTAGGGGATTATCTATGCTAATTTGACCGTAGGGAAATGTTTAAATCTAATCCTTGGATTATAAGACATTTGACTAACCTAATTTCGATAAGACTAAATAAGTCAAGGTTATTTGGTGAGGTTTATTTTTAGTCAGTTGTCACCTCAATAAGTACAAACTTGGTGGAAAAATTTGGTGAGATTTATTTTTAGTCAGTTGTCACCTCATTTTCAGTTGTCACCTCAATGAGTTCTTTCATACAACATTAAAAATAACAGAGAAACTTAGAAATGTGAAGAACTCAGTAAGAACATCCACATTTAAGTTGAGTTGTATAGAAACATGCAAGTTACTTGGGACTGGGGTAGATCATCATTGATCCAGCCTGTATATTATGTGGGTTTGAAAAGAAATTTTGGGATAAAAACCGGGCTAAAGACACTGCAAAATTGTATTTTTAAGCCAGGACTTGTTTTGGCCTGAAAAGCCTGATCTAGCCCAGCCTGAGTTTACAGAACCCTTGGATCGAAACCAATTCCATAATAACTAAAAAGTATACAGCTAAATATGGGAAACCTATTACGGAATAATATTCTTTCCTTCCATTTTACATTTACTTCCTTTCTTCCAAACAGTTGCACTAATCATTGATATATCTATTGGCAGTTGGTCCTTGACTATAATGACTTAATGAAAATCCCTGTGTTAAATGAACGTGTACGACAAAGTGCTGATGAGTCTGGAAGGGTGAGGTATGTATCTCCATTTTTTTAATTTTATATAATAGATTGATATTTCTTTTCTTTGGAGAACTATACTCTAAATTTACTTAAACTTATTCAACATTTTTACTCAAATTTTATTAATTGCCCTTAGGACCTACCTGTCCTTCAGTGAGTGTCTCATTTTGTTATAACCTATTTTTAACTCTTTTAGCTCCTTGCAATTCTACTTGAGGTACCTTTGTTGAAAAGTATGCATTATGTTTTACAAAAAACTAATATTGTCCTTCAGTGTGTGTAACTGTGTATATCAGTAAATGTATATGCATATAATATAATTTTGCAAACAGAGTTGGACAAATTTTCAGTCATCAGAAACAATTGTGATTCTTTTACTTTTCACAGTACAATGAAGATGTCATTCATGGTTAACGTTGCAACAATATTTTGTGATCACAGGAATGGTGATGAAGGGGAGGTTGCGAATGAAAACCTCTTCTTTCCTGGACTTCTTCCAAAAATTCCGGGTCGTTTTTACTATCTCTTCGGTAAGCCGATTGAAACTCAAGGGAGGGAAGAGCTACTGAGTGATAAAAAGAGTGCAGAAGAGTTGTATTCACAGATTAAATCTGAAGTTTCCTCAAATATAGATTATTTACTTAAGAAGAGAGAAGATGATCCTTACAGAAATATTATTGATAGAACCATTTATCGGTTGGCATCTACTCCTGCAAAAGATGTGCCATCGTTTACCCCATAACAAAGAGGGGACTATAAGTTACACATGATTTTAACTGTATGATATAAAGAGATCTCTATATTCATTATTTTTTGATGATATATATAGCAGTTTTTTCTGAATATTGTTATCTGTGTGGTTATCATTTAAACGTTTGAGCTTGTATTTGTATGTTTATTTTTCCATAGAAAGCATTGTGAAAAATTTAATCCAGTCAAATGACTCAGAGTAAATAAAGTACTTCATGAACTGAACTTATAGCATGAATTATCTGATCTTTTTTTTTCTTTGATGATGGTCTTGTTTGGCCTTACAGTAGAGACTTGTAGGGGTTTTGGAATTCGTTAACACGTGTAAGATTCGAGAAAATATCTCAAAAGAAGTGACTTTAATTTGACTTATGCTGCCTGAGCTTTATTCTGTGTTCTTTTCGGAGTATAGAGCGAGGTGTCTTAACAGGAACCAAATACTTTTGCTGTTAATGGGTGACAAAGTATCAGAGCTCGTGTTGGGGATACAGTTGCATTCAAGTTACAGATCTACTTTCATCTTATCTCCGAATACAAGAATCAGTGGTGAAATCCTACAAAATCCTAACTATCTGCTGACAAGTGGTATGCAGAATTTGATTCTTAGATTGCAGATTACAAACGATTAGAAAGAATCTTGAAAAATGCTGGTAAATCTCTTAGCTTCGCAGTCAGAATCATCTGTTATTTCTTCTGGTGAATATATTCCTAACCTTTTTCTATATAATGCAGGGTTGCAGACACTCAGTTCAGTATGTCAGAGAAAACACACAGAATCCTCTCTGAATAAGAAAAATCTAAACAAAATGTCTGGATATGATTATAGGCACCCTGATCATGTCCGAGGTAGGCCAATCATCAGCTATGATGTTTCTCACGGGACTCGTTCATATGTCACAAGAATCGAGTCACGTGCTGCCACTACATACAAGTACCCCACTTCTCATGCGAAGGTAGATTCCTCGATGGTCAACCATGGTCGTCCTCCAGAGGTTGAGAATTTCATCACACAAATTCTTAATGAAGTCAATGGACCACCTGGTTTGGCCACCATCCCAAATTCAGGGCCAAATTGGGGCCGGCATAGCTCTCCAGTGAGGGTGTACCCTACTAGAGACTACGGATCTGACTATTATCCTAGTAGTCCACCTGTGAAATCAAAGGTTTCATGGGACCATGGTGATCCTTATGACCATGAGGATAGATCACCGGGCCTTGTTTATGATCACCTTTCTCATAGAGGCTCGGGTATTCCTAATAAGGGATATTTGGATCAGTCTCGCACGAAAGCCAAGGCTCCCAGAGATTATGAAGCTCCTAAGCAGTGGGAGAGGTCACCGCATCCTGCTGAAGATCCTTGGGGTCATTATAAGTCTCCAACTAAGTTAGAGATCTTCGAGGATTATGCAGCTCCTAAAACTAATTGGGGCTATTCTCCAATTAAGCCTAATACTCCGGAAGATCATGAAGTGCCTAATAAACAATGGGACAAATCTAGCCCAAGTTATGGTGATCGATCTCCTAATAATCAACCTTCAAAGATGTGGAGAGATTACAAATTTGGCAATGATCGATGGGGCATTTCTGGTGGGAAGCCTCAGTCCTCTGATAGCTATGAAATTCCTGGAAACTCTTATCAACCACCACTAGATGGGAATCCTAGTGGAGCTCCAAAGACCTCTAAAGTGCCTCAGTCTGTTCACAGTTATGGAATCCACGACAATCAACAACGTAGATCGTCGAGCCCTATCCGTGATTACTCGTTACCAAATGAGACCAACACGGGTGGAGTTCCGAATAGCAGATGGGGAAGCTCTTTGATGAAGCCTCAATCTCCTAAGGGTTATGGAGTTCCTAGTAACCAATGGTATAGATCATCAAGCCCTATCGATGATCACTCTCCACCATCATCTAAGAAAAATGGGGGAGTTCTTGGTGTTCCTAGCAATCGATGGGGTATCTCGTCAATGAAGCCTCAATCTCCCACGAGTCAAGGATTTTCTGACAACCATTGGGATAGATCATTAAGCCCGGTTCATGATCACCCACCACCAACTAAGAACACTGGGGGACTTCCAAGTGTTCCAAGCAGCCGATGGGGTAACTCGTTGACAAAGCCTTTATCTCCCAAGGGTCACGGAAATCCGAACAACCAATTGAATAGATCGTTAAGCCCTAACCGTGATCTACCACCTTCAACTAAAAAAACAGGGGGAGCTTCAGATGTTCCAAGCAGTCAATGGGGAAACTCTTTGATGAAGCCTCAATATCCTGAGGTTCATAGAGTTCCCAATAACCAGTGGGATAGATCATTAAGCCCTAGCCATGATCACCGACCACCGACTAAGAATACTAAAGGAGAACCCGGTGTTCAGAGCAACCGATGGGATAACTCGTTAATAAAGCCTCAATCTCCCAGGGATAATGGAGTTTCAAACCACCAATGGGGTAAAACATTGAGCCCTGACCATGATCACCCATCACCAACAACTAAGAGCACCGAGGGAGACTATAGTGTTCCTAGGAACCGGTGGGGTGATTTGACGAATCCTCAGTCTCCTAAGGATCATGGAGTTCCCAACAAACAGTGGAATAGATCATCAAGCCCCATCCATGATCAGCCAAAAGTTTCTAGTGCTCCAAACAACCAATGGGGTAACTCTGTAATGAAGCCTCAGCCTCTCAAGGATTATGATGTTCCCAAAAACCAATGGGGTAAAACATCAAACCCTGTCCTGGATCACCCACCATCAAATAAGAACAATGGAGGAGCTCTCGGTAATCCAAGCAAGGAATGGGGTAACTCGATGAAGCCTCAATCTCCCAAAGATCATGGAGTACCCAACAAACAATGGGATAGATCATCAAGCCCTAGTTATGATCATCCATCGGCAACTGGGAAACATGGTTCTGTCAAGCCTCAACCTTTTAAGAATCACGAAAATCCAAAGTCAATGAGCCTTAATCATGATAACCAGTGGCCAAATTCTCCTGTGAAGTCTCAACCCCCTACAGATTATGGAGCTTTTAACCAGCTGGATAAGCAACCAAGCTTGGCTCATGACCACTCACCACTAAGTGGGAACGTTGGTGATCCTCCTATAAAGCTGCCCCAATCTCCTAAGGGTGGTTTCAACCAATGGAATAGGTCATCAAGCTCACCACCAACTCGAAACACCAATGGAGTTCTTAGTAGATTGGCAAACTCTTCAGTGAATCCTCAATCACCTAGAGTTAATGATAAGCAAATTGGTAATAACGACGATTTTCAGATTACTAAGACTAAGCCTGATGATTATACTTACGATCATCAACCAAAAGAGTATGGAAGCAAAGTTGGGATGAAACCAAGTGGCTATCATTCTAGTCCTCCTCGTCAAACAACCACTCCACCAAGCAAGGTAACTAATAACATAGAACCTTCGCCACACCTCAAGATTGCAACAGGCAGGTCACCTGATTTTCTCACAAACTCATAGTCCGGAAACTATGGATATTCATATCCTGCCTCGAAGGAGCCCATACGTGAGACTAAGTACAACATATATTGATAGTGGAGAAGTTGCAAGGAACTATGGTGATCAAAGTTGTCCAACTACGCTAGACTTTGAAAAGAATTACTTTAAACAATGATTTAGTTTTTGCATGGTGTATTAATAAAACTATAGTAATAGTAATGTGTATTCAAATAAGTACTTGTCATTTTGCTTGTTTACATTATGAAACTAATGAAACTACATTAATATTAAGTTGATTTTAAGGTGATGTATTTGGGTTTGAATTTAAGCTATGTGCACACTAAAGATTAATGAAACAATAACAATAAGTTAATACGAAGTACATAGCTTGTTGTCTATTCAAAATTACTTTATTGTTTTTTTGTTTACAGTAAGAAAGTGGCTCGATGTAATTAATTTAAACTATAATGTTAAGTTAACAACTTCAAAGAAATTCGTACATCATATTCATAAAACAAGCATATTCATATTAAAAATCAGACAAATCATATTCTAATCATCATTCATATTTTAAAACATCTCATTTGACCTTATATTTATTACATATAATATTTGTGTACCGCACGAGATCAAACCTAATCAATCTAAGAAAAATATCATATTTGTGCATCCCTTTGACGGGTCAATCGAGTCGGGTTTGGGTCGAGTCACTTCGGGTCACGGGTTGAGAAATGCTCAATCCTAATGTCCCAAAGTTTCGGGTCAACCCAACAGGTTTAGAACAAATTTTTATTCAACTTATTTTTAGCTAATTTTTAAAATATTTATGATTTTTCAAATTTGCTTTTCTATTATTTTTTTCAATGTTTATCGAAAATTCTCACCAATATTATTTTAAGTCATTACATGTGTATTACATAATTTAAATTGTCACCAAAGCACACTAATTTCAAATTAATAATAAATGATAATAATTTTTTTTTTTAAAAAAAAACCTCTAGCTTTAAAACATTACAAAATTAAAGAAAGAGGTCAAGCCAATAGTGATGTAAGTTATGTGAATGCAATTGGTGTGGGTCGATAGTTGATATAGGAAGTTGTTAGTGTGGATTTGAGCAACAATTATATGAAATGGATAAATGAGATAGAGAAATAAATGTTGGATGCTAAATAAATAATCAAACTCAACCAATAAACTAGATACTTGTATTAATTTTCAAATGAATGTATTTTTTCTAAATAAAGAACCATAAAAACAGATCGGCGGGACGGGTTTGGGTTGGGGTTAGGTTTGACTCACAAATTTTACGGGTTAAACGGGTTCCAGTTAGATCAGGTTACGGGTAAAAAAAAATAGTGTTTAAGACCCACTAAAGAGTGTCAAGTTTAGATCGAGTTTGCGGGTCGGGTCGTAAATTGAAAGGTCTACGTAGGAACCATTTGTCAAATACAAAGGTTCTTATTTACAGGGAAACTGAAGTAGTTTAATTAGTGAAATAAAATCATTCTCTCTTCTCTCTCCTAAAAATAAAATCAAATCAAATCAAATTCACTCTCTCCTAAAATTCAAATTAAATTAAATTCGCTCTCTCTAATTTCCTCTCTCTTCAATGGCAGATTATAAGTTTTTAAGATCGTAGATCCCAACGATTGTGATTTCTGGGCTACTTTGCCTAATCTTCCCAAGGAAACTCCTATTCTGCTCTGTTTCGAATACGGCAACTAAGGATGAGATTGTTGCTGTAAAATCGCATTTTGGTAACTTCT